CGCATGCTGAACGGAGCAACACATCCAAATCTGTCAAGTGCTCTGCGTAAATCCTACATATATTTCAATAGGCAAACGACGTCGTCAGTGGACTCTAAATCGCACAGCATTCTCCCATCTACCCATTCAACACCTACATCTTGGAGACCACAGTGCGTTCCCAGTATTCCGTGTATGTCGAGATTTAACGGGAATGGCGAAAGAAGACACCCTTGACGAACACCGCTGCTCGTTACGAACGACCTATTCAGCTCACTGTAGACCCTTATGCTACCAAAAGTATGCTAGCAGAGTGAATTCATTATGTTCACATACTTAGGTGGCGTTCCTTTGCGAAGGAGCAAACCCATAAGGGATTCACGATCAACCGAGTCGAAGGCTTCTTTTGGGTCAGGGAACACAAGTGATGATCAACGGTGTATACGGTGGGACTCGAGGACTAGGCGCAGCGTGCGGAATTGATCGAGACAACAGCGACCTGGTTGCTTGTTGTTCGTTGGTATTTGTCTCCCTGAATGGTGTGAGACGTCGAAGTATCAGAGGCTAAGAACTTGTTTAAGATTGGGATCTAACCTACTCCACGGTGGTTTGCGCAGTCGTTGCGAGACCCCATCTTAAATCGGTCAGTGATTCACTCCAGGATGTTGGAATACGCTCTTGCGATCGGATGTTACGCATTAAATTGGTAATAGAATCTACGAGGCCATCGCCGTCATCTTCAAAAAAGTGGAAGCCCATCACGCCCTACTGCTTTCTATTTCTTCAGGGTTTGAATGTAAGATCGTGCTTCCGCTTCAGTAAGAGGTTCACATGAAATTGCCCTATGGAGCCTCAACTACATCAAACGATAGTTTGGTTAGCGCCTCGTCAGCTGAATTGTTTGTTGAAGTATTCCGCCCATACTACCAAGCCTAAGAGATTGAAACTACGACTGGTGAGGGCATGTTGGACAAAAAGCTCTTTTGATACAATTGCGAAGATGCATACTTCATGGGCAGGTAGGCCCACCGTTATTGCATACGTTTTAAGCACATCTCTCCCTGTTATTGTAAGCCTGTAGCGTTGGTTTCATAATTTAGGCTTCATATACAATCATTCCCACAATCACTTTTCAATTCAAACTACTAGTACCACACACCTACAATTTCATATTTTAACTGTTTCACTTTCTTTCCACTTTGCTCTGTATTCCAATCCATCTGTCCATGTTATTATCATTGTGGCGTTGGCATCATGCTTGTCTACAAGCCATGCACCGATGTAGATGAATTCCAATCTGAAGGTGATCAACTTTATACCAAATTTGAATTTCATACTGTCAGCCACAAACATCCGACGAGGTAGAAGAAAAGCATTAGCGGAACAAACTCGGGTATGTAGATACCAACCATTACAGATTAAGAATAGTCTTATTCGTGATTTCCATAGTATCAAGCTGGAATACGCAGAAAACGAATGATTTTGCCCAAAACTGCACAGCTAACCGGTTCATTGTATGTTGAGTGGTACTTCATACAGCGATGCAAGGGAAGCATTTGTGATTACCCCAATCGTTGCATCAATAAGCTGCATTACCTGTATGGGAAACATATGAGATCGGGTAGTCTATTTATAGCCGAAAACAAAACAGCAAAACCGAATGAACTCAAGCGTATTCTCGTGAGGCATAGCAACAGAACACCGAAACGCATTTGCAAAAGGCATGATGCACGATTTGTTGTGGCAAGGATCTCTTGATTGCACAGGAACAGGTCACAGAAAGCTTGGAAAATGTGGTCACAGACAAAGAGTTCAGAGATCGCAAGCCGTTGAAAAGCTGGACAGTAAACGAAATGACAGGCAGAAAAGTGAATGAGATGGGTGTGCACATGATTGTCCAACGACCACTTAATCCCGAGACCACGCTCGAAACCGGATAGACATGTACAGGAAAAAGGAACTAAATGTCGAATCACGTGAGGCATGATTCAAAATCGAATATCTGTGATGGACTCGTCGGAATTTTGCAGCGCTGTCCGAGTTTTGTTACTTCGCACGTATAAGCATGCAACAACAAGAAAATTAAATAGCAATTGAAAAGCTGTTTAGAAGGTATCTGTTGCACAGCGGACACATTATTCGGGACAAAAAGAATGCGGCGGAGACAAAACGAGATAAAGACGCGTAGTGAGGGCAAGAAAAAAGAACAACAATAACTGAGTCATAATAATACACGTTCGAAGCAACGTCACTGTCAGTAATCTTTGATTTGATGCAGGAGAGAAACGCGATGTGATTGTCGTTTAGGACAGATGGGGGAGGGGCAAAACAAAAGAGCACGAAGTATCGCGCGAACCAGGATTCGCAAATGAGTCGCCAGTTACTGAAGAACAAAAAATGATTGTCGTTTTGCGATACGGCGGTGCGCAATCGACAGGAAGTTAGCACAAAACATCCTAGTTCCAAATGCGTAAGAAGCTATCCCACGATCCCGTACACACAGCCATGCCATCTTCGGTAACCCCAAGGCATGACACGCGATTATCGTGACCGGCAAGAACACCTGAACAAAAGCAAGGACTTGAATGTTAAACAGGACCAAAAAGCAATTATAAACCAAAAATATTACTAAAATCAAGACTCTGCGCTAGTGCACACAGGAAATACAGAACATAGAGCAAAACAGGCCAAAGTCACTGATAAAACTCTAATTCTGACCTATAGATGCTGACCACTAGCAGTCACTCACCGGTGCGCTCTTGTTTCAGTGTATCCCAAATATTGCAGTTGAAGTCGTCATAGCCTCCAAGTAGCAGTCGTCCGCTTTTGCTAAAGGCGACACTCGTGATTCCGCAAATAATACTATCGTGACTATACATCCCGACTTCTTGATCACAACGAATGTCGAAAAGTCGGCAGGTTGCGTCATCACTTCCGGTAGCAAAGCTTAAGCCATTAGGGAAGTAAGTGATCGCATTGATATCGGACTCGTGTCCGGGAAAAGTTTGCTTGCATTGCCCGTCGCGCAAATCCCAGAGCTGAAAAAAAGGATGTGAAGTGAAAATCTAAAGTTGTGTTCAGAAAGCACTTCTAGGAAAAAATTAGTTGGGTGATGAGGTGGAAATCCCAAGAAGTATAATCAATAAAGCATCCAAGAAATAGCAAGAATGTTGGACAACTAAGAAAAGATATATCAGTTTTGACATGCATCGCTTACTTTTGCTGAAGCATCACAAGCACCTGAGACAAATGTGCGTTGATCCGGAGCCAAACTGAGGCTCATTACATCTCCGGTGTGGCCAGTGAACGTGATTATCTGTTGTCCAGTATCGATATCCCACAGGGCGCTAAAAACCGATACGAGGTGATGAATCAGGAGTCAAACCAAAAACTTCTGAAAAAATACGCTCGGGTAACCTATCGAAAATAATCACGTTTAACTGCTAATATCAAGGAAAACATGAGAATGAGTCAGTAAACCGCAGTAGTTTGAAACAATTGATGCATTTAAAAGGAATAGGACGAGCGTATCGAATGAATGGAACTCTGTTGATTCAAATGCACGAAGAAAAAACAAAAGTGCATTGCGTTCGAGGCTAGTGTATCTGCTAAATGTTGAAACAACAGAGCAGTAAGCAACCTCTCTGAAATGCTTCGGAGTTCCTTAAACGAACATCGCAAGTGCTGCAGGGGGTTTCGCATCTTTAGACAGTGTATATACACAATACGATCGAACTGGACGAACGACAACGACCATCTACTCGAGCTGTGCGCAGAATACAATTTTCAAATTGCCACAAATAAAGTTCACAAAAACAGACGATACCCCTAAATGCTTTTCGGCAAGGGACCGATTTGTCACATTAAAAATGGTTGTCGCTGATTTAATCAAAAATGAAGTTTTGGACGGTAACTGGAAAACCATACTGAAAAAAGTGCGCTGTACCCATACTTGCTGAATCAGAGAATTTTGTTTAGAAAATTGTCAACTATAATGCAAAACTCTTTATTCACCATACAAAAGTACTATTATTGTTGTCCTCACGCTACTGGAATGAGTTAGATTTTTAAGGCTGAGCACAAAACACCTCCTTGGTCGATGAAAAGTGATGAATGCAGCTGGTGGAAACAGTTGACGGTCTGCTTCGGAAGTGGAGCTGTATCGCGGCCTCTCATATTTTTACCTCAACATTCAACGGTTCACTTTCCCTGGGACCGTTCTTCATTGGCTGACTGTTAAAAGATAGATAAAACTAAAGTATAAAAATGATTTGGTAATACTTGCAGATTAAGCTGAAATCCAACGTTCTGTCAACAGGCTACTCAGGTGTCTGCACGTACGTCTATTGTGATCTTAGGAGGCGGTCAAGCAATCGGAACAAAGAACTCATCAGACTATTTGTACTGTGTGAAAATACAACTGCAAAGTACTTGGAACAGAACATCGCAGCACATGAAGCATTCAAGTCCGTGAATAGTGCAAGGTACCTGAAGCCGGAATATTCAGTGGACTAGTTTTCACCAGTTTATTCTCGGATCTCCAAATCGACGGCAGAGATAGTCAACCACAAAGGAGAGCTCCTTGTTTAAAAAACAAGGCTGCAAGAAGAGCGCCGTACGATAGACTATTGTTAGGTAAGGGCTGCATATATTCCAAAAGTGAAATTAGTGAGTTGTTTTCACCAAACCCTTTGATCGGAAACAGATTTCTGAACGCGATAAAGGAGGAATGTTCAGGGTAGAATAGCAAACCCCAAACAAATCCGTTGTTTTCAACGCGAAACCACTTGTTCTGCACATGAAAACCGTAAGCGATACTGAACGTAAAACGGTTCGGATGGGAGCAGAAGCAGCAGCAGCAGCCTGGTTTGATTTCGGCAGGCAAGCAATCAGCAGAACATGTACGTCATAAAAAATGGAGAAATTATTTAATCGAACTACTGTAGGCAGAACAATAAAATATCAGAAATTTCTACTTCAAACAACTCGGAAACTTGGAGTGTAAACTTTCAACCATCACATCAAGTCGGTGGTCTTGAACGCATAGAAAAACAAAAAGCTCTAAGACCATATCAAGCGAAACTCTACACGAGACAACACTCTACCTTCATAAAATACTGTTCGTTTCCACCTAGGTGTTGGAAATAATTCTGAAGCCATGAATAGCTGCAATTCACTGATTTATCCCGAAAATGGACCACAAACTGAAATGCAGAAGTTATGGGAGACATATTGAACGACATATACGCCAAAACTGTTGTTACACGACTGCTGAACCTCTTCCCATGCGACCGGAATTGTCTCAACCACGTGTTCACCCACGGTGGAAGTGTCGAAAAAAACTAAGAATACTATTCCAAGTCTCGACAACCGGCAACGATTTGCCTTATCGATTTTCACGCGCAACATAACAATGATAAACACAATGGTAAAAAGTATACGGCCGTGGGGCGGCTCAGTCGCTGTCACCGGCGTGCTTTGGACCCTGTGGTCCAAGGTTCGAGTCCCGCACCGCCACTCAACTGTGGTGGTAGACAGATTTGTTGTCGTCTGGATCAACACCAACCGTTACCTAGCGAGACATTCTGTGGTTCGTCCCGGGGATCAAGGTTTCCCGATTTCATCAATGAACAGCGGGTCGTCGCGACTATAGGGTCCAAGCTGCCTACTATTCATAGCACGAAAAATGTGCAATAAAAGAGCACCGTTATTATTGTCATTTTAATTCGCCTCCACTGTTTGATTTCCATATAGCTGTGCTCTGCACCCAAAATTTTCCATTTGCTATTATCGTTGTTGTGTTGACACCATGCTTGTTAGTAAGCCGGTGATATATATATATATATTGAAGAATTACTTATACGATTCTATGACTTATAGGTGAAGAAAATACATTTCCTGGGTACAAGTAAATGAATGAAAAGATAAAAGATTACCGGATACCTGACGAGCGGCAAGAACCGCGAAAACAGTTATGCGCTTCCAGAGAAATCGTGTCCAGTCATTCATATAATACTTACTGTAAAGTATGTATATACCGTCATACACACGATCGTGTTGAAGCAGCCAGAAATCTAACAAGTTCAATGACATCGATGTCTTCATTTGCAGAACCGATGATAGGACAAGGGATATAGTTAAAGGCGAATGCCCGGCGCTTTCCACCGGGTTGACTGACCACTAGTAGTCAGTCTAGGGGAGTTGGCTAAACCCTGATTCTAAACCACCCACACCTGGCGTAAGAAGCTCATAGCGGCACCAATATTCGGCGCAACCGAACCGGTCTCCAAAGTTCATCTTTGGAGTTTACACCGTGATTCCCACCGGCAAGTGAATGGCTCAAGGGCAATCTGGGTACCCTGGATAGTTGGTCACATCGTATGAACTGGTCCCGCAGTCACCGGCTCCCACAGAATCGTGGACTCCCTACTCCACCCCACTGCCTTGTGGTCAGGTTCTCTAACCAAAGGGTAGGGTACGGTCCCCCAAGAAAACCCTCTGCCTCGGCCTGGGCAACCGGGTAGTACCACGCCCACAAATTAACCGTGGACTTATGAACCTCGGTTGCCGTGATGGACGCTCGCAAAGCCATTCCATCGGATTCAAGATACGACAAAGCGCGCAAATCCCTCGCCAGCTCATCAAGAGTCTGAGGAATGACCGCGAGAAGTGGTGGGTAGGAAAGTGTACAGAAACTCATCAAGGGTCTGAGGAATGACCGCGAGAAGTGGTGGGTAGGAAAGTGTAGAGAGATGGAGAAGCCTGCGGCTATTGGTAATAGTCGCAATTTTTTTCGTTTAATTAGGAGTACAGGAAAAAGGGAAAGCAGGCGTAAGTGAGGTAATTAAGGAGTCTGACGGCACACTGATTCAAATTCCTTGGTCACTAAAGGGACAGGATAAAAATAGATTGTCGGTATTCGAGTCTGACGGCACACTGATTCGAATTCAGGAACGTCGTCTTAAACGTTGGGCAGAACACTTTAAGGCTGGTCCCCTTCGACACAAGACTTTCACCCATTCGATTCAACTGTGCAAATACTGCCAGTTGACATCAGTCCTCCATCTGAACTGGAGGTTACCCGGGAAATAAGTTACCTCAAACGGCATAAGGCTTCCGG